AGCAGTAGCAGCAGTAGTAGCAGTAGTAGGAGTAGTAGCAGTAGTAGCAGTAGTAGTAGTAGTAGTAGTAGTAGTAGTAGTAGTAGTAGTACTGGTACTAGTACTAGTACTGGTACTAGTACGAGTATTAGTACTAGTACTAGTACTAGTACTAGTACGAGTACTAGTACTAGTACTAATACTAGTACTAGTACCAGTAATAGTAGTACTAATACTAGTACTAATACCAGTAATAGTAGTAGTAGTAGTCGTCGTCGTCGTCGTCGTAGTAATAGTAGTAGAGTAGGAGTAGTAGTAGTCGTCGTCGTAGTAGTAGTAGTATGCAAGAGAAATAGTTGTAATAGCAGTAGCAGATAGCAGTAGTACTATTAGTAAGAACAGCAATATAATTGTTTTTCACACGTTTTTTGTTGCTCCTGCCCACTTCGTGTTTTCGCGTTAGGTCTGCAGGTCCTACGGGATCCTAGGGTGCTCTACTACTACAACCGGGGTCGCACCGGCAGGCGGCTCGGCCTTTCGGCCTTTGCGAGGTCGATTATGCGGTCGAACGGTGACCTGTGATGCTGGTAGCCTGTGGTGTTGTGGTGTTTGGGGCCGTGGCAATATAAGTAGCAACTAGTAGTACTACAGTTACTGACAGGGCCGTTGAGGACGGCGATGGGGTTGACCACCTATAGTGGCTGGCAACGCCGGGCTGGCCGAGGCTGTGACGAGCACGCGCTCGAGACGCATTTTACCGGCCTTTCGCCAGCGTCTCGTGCCCTGCTGCTCTCCCCGGCCGGGCCACACTCCGGCCGTTTGTTTACGGTCCTCCCCACCTCCGACTCCGACAATGTCACCATCGCCAGCGCAGAGTTCCGGAATCGGCTGCGTCTTCCTTTGGCGCTCTGCCTCCGCGCATGCCGTTGCGGCAGACGCCTCGACCCTTTGGAGACCACCGAGCCGCCTCTGCCATCTCCGGTGCCTTCCGACTCGGCCGCTGCCGCGCGAGCACGCCCTCGCCCGTATTTGCCGCGAAGCCGGTGCGCGTGTCGCGCGCAATGTTCGCGTCGCTGACATGAACATTGGTGTGCCGGTTAGCGACGCCAGGAGGATTGAGGTCGTGGGCAGGAGCAAACAAACAAATTGCTCGACGGTTCCACATTTTCCGCTAAGGCGTGTCAAATAGAGGACAAGAAAAGAAGATGTGATCGCCATAGAAACTACGTATGCAATTCGTCCGATCACTGTATTTGTTGCCGCTGTCATGTAGTTGACCCTGTCCCGTGCCACGAATCCTTGAAACTTAGCCATCTAGCAGAGCCAGCTACGTTGGAGTTCGAAGCTATTTCATCAAGGAGAAGTTGCTAAGTGCCAGGTTGATTTCCGGAGCAGGTCCCCCTTCGGGAAGGCGAGCCCCCCTAGGCTAGGACCCTTTGTTCTTCCACCGAGTTGTCGGAATCCCACGTTCACGCTGTAGGAACATTAAACCGGGTAAACATGCAATCATGTGAAAGGCAACGCAAGCAACAAACTTAGTCAGAGCATGCACGACAAGGTATGTGTTGAAATTTCGTTCGAGCTGATTGTGAAATGCAATTTTCAAGTTCTTTGCGGGTTAGCTCCGGAGCTGCTCATGAAAACCCTGTTGCCATGAGGTGTTTGCAAAGTTTCCCCAACATGACGTTGCCATGTTCTGTAGGAGAACACAAGTCAACGATTGTCAACGTCAAGCGCATGAAGCTCACAAAGTCATTCGATGAGGTGCTCGGCTAGAATCGGCTAGAACATGCGAGAGTGGTGGTTCTATTGTGGTGATGTTTATCATTTTATTTTGTCACCCCTTGTATTGGCAAGTTTTTGTTGACTCATTGATGGTAAACCCTATTTGGTAACAAAGCACATGGAACAATAATATGGGGACACATCGACCGTTGCAGAAAGCATAACTTTCCCGAGACAAGTTAGCAGCACGAACTCCCCCGCGAGCATGCCGATTCATCCTTGCAGCCATGTCTGAAACAGCTGCTGATTGACGAACACCTGGCCTAGTTACCTGGTTCTGGATGCCTGCACACCTTGCAGCGGTTTTGCGAGACATTGCAACAGCCCGTGACGACATTTGCAAACCCATTGTTGCAACAAGACCGCGGTTCATTTCCAAAGCTGGAACTTTTGCGCTGACATGGGCAATTCGGTCGCGTCCTTGACTGCTTGCAATTTACGTTCACGCAGTGCGGTTCACATCGTGTCGTTGTGCAAGGGCTGGGCCGGCCCCCCAAGCGAGGAAACACAAAAGGCAACGACTCACATGCAACGTAGGGGTGTGGGCGAATTGGTGGACGGTAATTAGTCTATGTGTTCTCCCATCTGCCAGGCCAATTTTCGCAAGTGCCTTCAAAGAGAATGCGTGCCACAGGCACGTCACCTCTTAGGCACAAAGCATGCAAGCCTCAAGCCAGTGAAAACTCGAAGTAGATGTTGTCGGCAAACACTAACTATCCAAGGTACAAGATGCCTGGAGCCTACCTCGTGATGCTGTCGCCCTCGCATTGTTCTGCCATGCATGTTCGCCGACATCGCCGCGGTAAAGTTGAGGCCTTGCAGCTTCGCTCCGTGGCCGAGATGGGCACCAAGTGCGATCCTTAGAGATTTGTTGGGAAGGGTAGCTTGGCCCCAGCCTTCGGCCGGCCTCGGGCTAACAGGATTTTGCGATTTTTGTGTGGACATTCGGTGAATCCAAGATGCAGGGTGATTTGCTGATGTGGAGTTGCACCGGTTTTATAAGTTTTGTTGATTCAGTTCTTGGTAAGCATGCTGGCAGCATCAATACACAATGTGTGTAGGGAAGTCGTGCATCAAACATGTGTTCCGCAAAGCACATTCCAAACAGCATGTTGATGATCATGTTCATGTGTTTTACTCGCTACTGTACAAGTAATGCAACCTCAAACTGTCAGAGTTGCTTGCTGGAGGGGTCTGTAGTGATAGTAAGAAACAGAAGCAGTATTCGCACTGATACGGCTGACCGAACGTAATAGAAGGGCACAAACTATGTACAGCCAAGGCGTGTTCGAGCTTAGAGCAATCGGGTTGATGGGGCCAGCTTTGGCTGATGGAACTTGCATTTCCGAAGGTTTGGCATGGTGACGGCTGGGCGCGCTGAAACCCGACTAGCCAAGAACTGAGTTTTCTCGGTGCTGCCGTCATGAGCTTGACCCTGGACTGATGCAACCCCTCAGGATCCAAGTCGATCGGAAGCGGCACAGTTGGCTGCCCGTGCCGAAACAGGCCACGACTGGGTCAATAGGCGGGAATTGATTGTGTGGCGTGTTGTGCAGGCTTGCTTGCCTGCGAACACCAATGTGCCAAAAGGACCACATGTCAGCCCTTCTTTGCACGCTCGATTAGAGGTGCCTAGGCCCGTCGACTGCCATCCGCGTGAATGTGCATGCAGGAATTGGCCCGCGGCATTGGAACAGCCATGGTCAAAGCCCAAAGCCAAAGCCAACAAACAACCAGCAACGTCGCTCACTGCCAACGCAGATCACACGTAGAGTCAGTTTGGTAACACATGTTACACACTCTCCAAGGCTCGGGACCGTGTCCATTGACATGGCAGGTGTTGCCAAAGACAGGTCCTGTCCCCAGACGAACCCAGAAGGCAAATAAACTGCGCACAATCGGAGTTGCACTTGTCTTGCTTTCGTGCAGAAATGAGGACAGGTGGACAACGATCCAGACTGGTTCCGAATTGAGCCGCTGGTGCTTCTAAAAAGGAACGCAGGCGGACCAGGCGAAAAAAAATGAACGTCCATTTCGCCAGACACCGGTCACGGTGGCGAGATGTTTTTTTTTGTTTTTTGTTTTGTTTTTTCCGTCTGGCTTCTCTTATTTTCGATGCTATCGCACGTAGCTGCACCATCGCAGCCCTTTCTCAAGCCTAGTGGCATCGATGTAACGAGCCACGTTTCCCAACTCGCAGGCGAGGGCATGAGTCAAACTTAAGCGTGCCCACATACTGCTCAGACTGGACATAGCATTAGCAGGTTCGCGCTACAGCCGACATGATAAGGATCGACAGGATATACGTTACTTTGCACCGGCACAGCCTTGCAACATGGGACGACTGATGGCAGCGCCCGTGCCGGGGACCAGCAAGCCCACGAGCCCTGCGACCTGTCAGTGCCTGGAGCATCTCGGTCGGAGTGGGAGTTTGCCTTTGCTTTTGTCTAGAAAGCCGCAGACGCATACAGGCGGTAAGCGAGTGTGCAGCCCGCGCAGCATATAGTGAAGTACAGTTCGGGTCATGCCTCCCTTTGCTGAGGCGACCGCCGCGCATCAAAGCAGAAGCAGCATCATGCTGCAAGAGTGTTGTGCATATCATGCAAAGACATGCTGCATCTTGGACGATAGTTTTGATAGCAGATGATACTAGTAGCATTTGGCATTTCTGGTTCTTGGTTAGTCCGCCTTTGGCCAGCCTTTAGTTCTCAGCGGTGCAGTGGGATGAGAATTCCATTCTGCATTTCCCTTCCAGGCAGTGGTGGCGTTGCCATTTGCTGTAGGTGTGTTAGCTGCGCGTCGACGGGCTTTGAGAAGACCACGGCGTGTGACCATGTACCAGGCCCGCATGTTGCAGATGATCAGTCGGCAAGTTGAAGTCCGACTAATCTCTTCTTTCAAGTTTTGATAGCTAGTCATTGTAAAAGTGTGTGTGTTGAATGATTTTGCTCTTGTCGTGTCACCCTCAAACGAGCTGCAGACAAGGATTCGTTTGCCCGCACCACCTGCATTTCGCATGTCAGGGAGGGCATCTTCAACCTAGCCTTGTGGCAGCCCTATCACCCCGATGGCCCAGCAGAGGTCTCACGCGATCAGTGCATTATGAGGAGGAGGAGGCTTATTGAAGATCAGAAGCGCCCCATGTGAATAAGACGCACTGCGGCCTTGTTCGTCAGCTAGACAAGCGGCAAAGACAAACAAGACACCATCCCGACAAACTCCCGTGCGAGTCAAAGTCTAAAGGGATCCCACTGCAAACCGTCCACCCGAGCCGAAAGGACCGCAAGAAGGTGTCGGCATCGCACAGCCGACAGAAGCGCATCCACAGATCCACCCTGGACGTGGCACAACCACACATCGGTTCTCAGCCCCGCACACCGGAGAATTGCGGCAGGGTGGCAGCCCCTGGCTTTGCACCCTGGAGAAGTAGGGAGCCTGTCGTCCACGCAAACTGGGTCAAGTCGTTTAGCCTTTTTTTTCGAAAGCTTGCAGCAAACGGAGCCATGCCTTGAAGAGGCCGTACAGCGAGCGTGGTGCAACCTCCCGGAAAACTACAATTGGGACATCTGCACGCAGCAGAACTACGCAGCGAGTGAGGCTGTGATCATCCCGGGAAAGCTCGAAGGCCGGGCGGATGGTGCGGATGTGTGCACCAACGTAGTTGTCTGACGGGCTCTTCATGAAGTACTCGCGTCATTCATGAGCTCTGAATTGGCAGGAGCCCGAAAGCTTGTCGACAGCTCGTATCACGGGTATTACACCCCGGAGAGGCAGCGTTTTCAGGATGACCTTATCACCGATCTTGTTGAAAACAATGGTCGGTCACAGCAGGCACCCGTTCTGTTGCCCCTTGGATTCACTGAAGTACTGGGCAAAGTTCAGCGCCTCGTGGGGGGTGCTTTGGGCCTCATACAGTGATTGCCAGATGTTTTCCTCACCGAGATGCGCCAAGGTTTACTGCGGGAGCCATGGGCGTGGGCAAAACCTTTGTGCTCCACTGGCTCCGGGACAAGGGCATTTTGCCTGTCTCTGATTTTGTTAAGATCAACCCTGACAAGCTTGCCAAGCAACTTCCAGAGTGGGTGGGATCCTTGTGATGCGAAATGCTAGTATGTGGTGTTGGCCGTTGTTGGGTTGGGGCGCGGTTAGGTTGTGGAAAACGGGTGTGTGTATTAGGCCAGTAACGGCTTCTTGTCACACCAAGGATATGATGCCTACGACCACTCCAGCGCTGCAGTGATGACCCGGTTGGAGGCCGGCTACCTCAGCGAGCTCACTTTGCTTTATGCTCTCCAGCAGAGGCGCAATATTTTGGTTGACAGCTCCCTACGGCACGGTGCACCGATTATGGATCAATCTGTACACTTTGACTTGGATTCGTTTGAAGCTATAGCCTTCAGGGTTGTATATGCTCGCTTAATAACTTGAGTATCCGATTGTGTGTCGCAGGGCACCATTGCTTCAGTAGGCCTGACCTTAGTAAGGCAAGTGGTACTCCCGAGTGCTGCAGAAGATACGTGAAAAGCTGCCGGATGTGTCCGTCGTCCTCATGTACATCCATGCGTGCGAGGAAACAGTGTTTCAGAGAGCAGTCGAACGAGGGCACAACGGTCGTGCAGTGAGTCATGCAGAAGTCGCCGACTCCCTGGAAAAGCTTCCTCGGGCCCTCCAGAAACTTCTTCCTTACACGGACTCTTTCATCCAGGTTAACAACAACTTCGACGAGCCTCAGGTAACATCCGTTTGTCAGCAGGTGCGAGACGAAGAAGGCTCCTCGTGTCAAGTGTCAGAAGACATCGAGTCCATGGGCGAGGTGGGCTGGTCCGGTGTGGCAAGTGTGCTGCAGCAGGCGACTAACGGCCCGCCTGCAGAACCGCTAGCCGAGCCGCCGGCCATTCTTCCAGCTTCTGGTTCCTCCCTGCCGCAGCCCATGAGCACCCTCTTCCACACCATCGCCTTTGCTGCCACAAAGCATCTGAACCAGACTCGCAAAAACCCACAGCAGACGCCTTACATCAACCACCCCCTGGCCGTTGCTCGCATTCTTGCCGAAGTGGGCATCCGTGATTTGCCTACGCTGCAAGCTGCACTCTTGCACGACACTCTGGAGGACAGGTTGCATGCTGCACATCGAAGTTTGCTCCTGTCCACCATGCAAAGTAAGCCGGAAGCGTCAGAGCAGATATTACGTCCGGATCCGTTTCATCCTACCCTGTGGCAGGCGTTGTGTATAGGACCCCGAGATGGCAAACTCAGGAAGGAAGTAGACCCCATCCATTCAATATGGGGCTCAGCAAGACTTGCAATATCATTTCTTGACTGACACTCATTGGAAAACTTGGCCACTGGGGTCTTCGCGCCGTCAAAGAACAGAGGTCTTCGCACTTCAGAACCGGCAGATCGTTCGATAGTGACAGCCGAAAGAGTTGCATGGAGATGCCGTTTTTTCAGGACACCGATACCAGCGCTGCCGAGCTCTCCGCTACTTTTGGCGAGCAGGTGGGCATGAACGAGGGGCAGTCCTGTTGCCCAAGATGCGTTGAAGTTGTTCCATCTTACTCTTACTGCAAGCCCGGGAAACTTGAAGGAAGTACTGTACCCTGCGCATAAGGATGCATGATGTAGTGCACTGGCATATATCAGTCGTGATGGTTGAAAGGTCCGGGAACTAGTGACGTCGCTGACCGATGACGTGGCTGGGCGCACTGAAAAGGAGAATAAGTAGGCTGCTCTCGGTCTGACGTCCCAAACCCATACTTCAGCAAAGCCGTGGAATCACACGGCATGGCGAAGACACTGCTTCAGACATGCCTACCTTGTTGTATGTACATCTAAGGACAGCTTGCGACCGGTCCACAGAAAGCTGGTGCAGCTGCGAGGTGCTACAACTTTGCCCCCGAAGGCAGGTTTTGCATACGCAGGGTGTCCCACCTGCAGGCTCCGGTCCTCATGGTACAGTTCAGATTCTACTTAAAGATGCACGCCGCTGTACTTTCCTAGCTTCCATCATGATTGGCTTGGTCCAGGCGAAGCTTGTACGCATCGCAGACAAGCTGCACAATGTGTGGGAGCCCGGGGCTCTCAAAGTCGTTTTTATCTCGCGAGCCTCTTTTTTTGTGAGGAATGTCACCTTGTTCCGATAGAGGAGATTTGGACTGTGTCCCGAGCCGCACAGAACTAGAAGAGCCCCATGCTGCAACGAACATCTCATGTTTTGTTCCGTGCGCCAGAGCGCAAATCAACCAGCCCAACGGCCGTCTCAGAGTGCGAACGTCAGGATCTGGTCCATCATGGCATCCCGTCCTGGCCCAAGGAGCGAGCGCTTGGAACTTGCTGGGCGATAAAAACCCTGTGACTTAAACATGATCTTCGCAGTAGGCCAGGACTTCTGCGATACGTCTACAGATTTCGATAGATTTCTATCCTCACTGCTTGGTTGAGCCTCTGCTCGGGTCATGTCTCCTGAAGCCTCCATGCAACCATCAGTAGCCATGACGACGATCTGTGAGTTTCGATGCCAGGACCGCTAGGACATAGGAGTTTACGTCCAAACCTTTTTGCTGCTGCTTGGCTCCAGAATTTTGGCTGTGGAAACTTGACTCGCCGTTGCGACTTCCGAAGGTTGAGGCCATGGCTTCGCAGGGGAAGATCACTTACACCTACACCGATGAGGCACCAATGTTGGCGACTCATGCTTTGTATCCCATTATCAAGGCATTCTGCTCGCAAGCCGGCGTCGAGATGGAGTTGAAGGATATCTCCGTTGCTGGTCGCGTTCTCGCTCTGTTCCCGGAGAGGCTCCAGGAGCAGCAGCGCACTGGCGACTTCCTGGCAGAACTCGGCCGCCTGGCACAGAGTGGCCAGGCGAATATCATCAAGCTGCCCAATGTGAGCGCCTCTGTGCCACAGTTGAAGGAGTGCATCGCTGAGCTGCAAGGCCAGGGCTTTGCGATTCCCACCTACCCGGAAGATCCCAAGGACGATGAGCAGAAGGAGATCAAAGCCCGCTACGCCAAGGTTCTAGGCAGCGCTGTGAACCCTGTGCTCCGTGAGGGCAACTCTGACCGCCGGGCTGCCGTGCCAGTGAAGGAGTACGCCTTCAAGTACCCGCACTCCATGGGGACCTGGGCCAAAGATTCAAAAACCCACGTAGTCTCCATGTCTGACGGCGATTTCTATGCCCACGAGAAGTCGGTGACGATTGCGGAGGCCTGTGAGGCCCGTATCGAGATGGTGGCCGAGTCTGGCGAGGTCACAGTGCTGAAAGAGAAAATCGCCTTGCAGCAGGGCGAGATCCTGGATGCGAGCTTCATGAACTGCTCCATGCTTCGCGAGTTCTTTGAGAGCCAGATCGCCGATGCACGGGAGAAGGATGTGCTGTTCTCGCTGCATCTGAAAGCAACCATGATGAAAATATCAGACCCCATCATGTTCGGGCATTGTGTCAAGGCCTACTTCAAGGACGTCTTTTCCAAGCATGCTCGGACTTTCGAGAAGCTCGGCGTCAACGCAAATAACGGGCTCGGCGATGTGTACAAGAAGATCGCGGGTCTTCCCGACGCAGAGAAGGCGGCAATCGAGGCGGACATTATGGCAACCTATGCAGAACAGGGGAAGATGGCGATGGTAGATTCCCACAGAGGTATCACGAATCTCCATGTTCCCAGTGACATCATCATCGATAACTCCATGCCCACTGCCATTCGTGCGGGTGGCAAGATGTGGAACAAGGACGACAAAGAGGAGGATTTCAAGGCCTGCATTCCAGATCGAAGCTATGCGGGAGCTTTCGCAGAGTGCATTGATTTCTGCAAGAAGAACGGAGCTTTCGACCCTAAGACCATGGGGGCATGTCCCAACGTTGGCCTGATGGCCCAGAAGGCCGAAGAGTACGGCTCCCACCCGACAACCTTTGAGGCACCATCAAGCGGCACCATCCGCATCGTCGTCAACGGAAGCAACAAAGTGCTTCTCGGACATCGTTTGCAGAAGGGGGACATCTGGCGCTCCTGCCAGACCAAGGACGCCCCTATCAAGGACTGGGTAAAGCTCGCAGTTCGCCGATGCCAGGCCAACGACTTCCCCAGGAACGAGAAGCCGTGCAAGGCGATCTTCTGGCTGGATCCTGCCCGAGCCCACGACTGCCAGATCATGGACAAGGTGCACAAGTACCTCCCGGAAGTCAGGACAGAGGGCTTGGACATTGAGATCATGTCACCGCAGCAGGCCATGCGAGTGACTTGCGAGAGGGCGAAGCAGGGAATGAACACCATCACCGTGACTGGCAATGTCCTCCGTGACTACCTCACGGACCTCTTCCCCATCCTAGAACTCGGGACAAGTGCCAAAATGCTCTCGGTGGTGCCTATGCTAGCAGGTGGTGGTATGTATGAGACAGGAGCAGGCGGCTCTGCCCCCAAGCACGTCCAGCAGTGCACAAAGGAGAACCACCTTCGCTGGGATTCTTTGGGCGAGTACTTGGCTCTCACCTGTTCCATCGAAGATCTTGCGAACGACACGGGCAATAAGGCGGCCGCAACTTTGGCTGCGGCACTCAGTCGTGCAGTTGGCCGTTTCCTCGATGCCAACAAGAACCCCTCCCGCAAGGTCAAGGAGATCGACAACCGCGGGAGCCACTATTGGGTCGCCCGCTACTGGGCTGAGGAGTTGGCCGCACAGGGCGAGGATCAGCGCCTGAAGGACACTTTCTCGGGCATGGCCGAAGAGCTCAAAGAGAAGGAAGCTGCGATCCTGTCCGACATGATTGAGTGCCAGGGAAAGACAGTTGACATTGGTGGCTACTACCACGTTGACAAGGCCAAGGCCGACGTGGCTATGAATCCCAGCGCCACGTTCAACGGCATCATCACTCGCCTGGCTCAGGGTGCAGACGCCAGGATCTAAGGCTGCGCGCTTCAGAATGAGAACGCATCTTCCAGGCCTCACATAGGCTTCGTACAGCAACAGCTGCGCATGTGTTCGCAGGGTTGGAGTTTGATTTTTGGGGTACCTGATGTCGTGGTGCCTGCATAGCTTGCAGGGGCTCTTCTGCCCAAGACCTGAAAACTCGATAGTCCGATAGTCCACACCGCAGACTCTCTGTCAGGCTTAAGGGTGAAATTGCTTTTGCACCTGATGCAAAGGGTCTTGGAGCGCAGCCCGGGGCAGTTTGCTGTCCATCATTTTGCCGCCCCTCCGACGTGATGCCATAGCTGAGTTTTGACTCTCAACATCCTACACCAACCCAAGGGTTTGGCAGCTGCAGGCCCTAAGTGAATCAGGGTATCTTGCCAGTGTACCTGCAGAAGAAGCCTTCTTGGCCGCGAGCAGCTTGCCAGTGTTCCTTCCTTGGGGCGCCGAGCCCGGCTGATTCGAAGTTTTGCAAAGAAGCAGCTGAGCTCGTTCCGTTTCTGAAGAGAAAAAGAGCCGCCGGCCTCATGCCTTTGCTGCCGATGCTGCCGCCTCGGAGCTGAAGTCGCCTGAGGTGTATGTAGGTCGTCGTAGGTCCACGGTCCATTTTAGATGGGTCATGGGCAGGGCATCGGAAGGAAGTGGATGATCATCGAAAGGTGGTGCAAGTGGTGTTTGGTGCTCCCCTCTCTTGGAGAGTTCGAGTGTGACAAGCTCGCATCATGTGCTCCCGATGGTGGCCATTGATTTGTCGGAAGATGGTAGCTGTACCGCAAACAAACTCACACTATCGTCGGTTCCACTGGCCCACGGCGTTGTCCCCTTGTCGCCCACTTCCCGAACTTCCGATTCTCGAGGAGCGCACCGAGCGATACATTGCCTGGGCAGCTCGGCAGCTAACTTGTCCCTTTCGACCCTTGAAACCCTCTGCATGAATGCATGCAAGAAGCCCGAAGTTGTCACTTGGTGACATCACCCATCACCCTGGAAAGCCATCTGAAACCTTTGTAATGCCTGGACGGCGTGCTTCTACTGTGCTCAGGTGAAGCTGATGCTCGGTCCTAGAGGAAAAGTTGGGACCTTCCAATAACCGACCAACCGAGACCAATCGACCCTGCTATGCGGGCTTTGTCCATGCGAAGTAGGAGGAAAAATGAATGCAAGGGGCTCCAGGCCACCAACACAGCCTTCCGTAACATACCGCCTGTGGAGGTCTACAGACGTTCTCACTTCTGAATGCATGAGCTCTTTGATCCAACCCCAGCAACAGAGATGATCAACACGACATCTTCGCTTCTTTTGCTACCACCCCTGGCCGCAAATGTTGCCTCCACGTTTTTTGATTCAGACATGACCTGGAAACTCAGGCTTGTGAGATGGTGGCAGCCTTGAAAGGGACTCATGCAGCTTCTCGCCCAAAATGGTCACGTGTGATCTATGTTTTTTCTCTCACCAACACGAATTTGATATCCGAGAGGCTCTGGAGCAACGATTCCACGCTGAAGTTTCGCTACCGGCTGGCTACGAGCTGGGCGACTGGGAGCGCTTCGCACAAGAGCAGCTCAGGCCTGAAGCTTTGTACCCCGAAGTCTAGTGAATCCATGCTCGGCTTAGTCTTTGGGCTTGACAATTAGATGCTTGCCACTACAACGACACGTGTAGTCACAGTGTGGTCTACGAGTAGCGACCCTTTACTGGTACTTCAGCCTTGGCCAGGCACACAGAAGCCTGGGAGCACGTGCATGTTCAGGACGACGAGGTGCAAAGTCAGTACTCTTGTGCAAGCAGGTGTGCAGACGTTGACCGGCAAACAGAGCACTGTATAACGACTTGTAACGACATTCGAGATGACTGAAAAACGACCTGTTCGGATCAGACGTGCAAGATGCAGACATGGACGTTTTGTCGAAGTATCACGAGAAAGCACATTTAGGTTGCCCGCTTTATCGACAGTTGACACGGGAATGCCGAACAAGCGAGCGCGCTGGCAGGTCACGGAACAAGTGCACACGCCAGAGCTGGACGAACAGCGTGCGGTACTGTCTCTCTTGAAGGCGGCAGAGTATGCAGCCTGGCAGATCTGAATACATTCTGCAGCGGGAGTACCAGCAAGCGGGCCGTAGCAGTGGCTCCAGCAGTTTTCAGACATGAGTGCCCTGTTCGATCTGTCTACGACTGGTTCAGGTCGCAAGCCGCAACGGCTCACAACTCATTGACAGTGTTAAGTTTGCATTGATGCTGACGGAGTACGGCATCAAGGACCCAGAGACGCTCAAGGCCGGGGTGGCTTTTACTCGTAGCAGCTTCATTGTCAGGGACTCTTAGATCTATAGTTGTCTACATGCGAAGGCCATCGAAAGATAACAGAGCCGTAGCACGACTCGCAAGTAGCCTGGAGGAATCATTCTAACAGAAATGCAGCTTTCGGAGCAAGCCTGCGAGAAGTTGTAGACTTTCACCTCGTGGGCACTCTTGGCGATGGTCTGATCCCGGTAAGCCCGGTAAGTGACTCGGTCATCGGAGCAGATAGGCAGGTGTAAGGTGAACAACTTGGGTTCCCACATTTCGATGAGAGACGATGGCCCCGGATCGTGCAGGCAGGGCTGCTCCTCGGAACTGCCAACGGTCACGACCGACCCTTGCTCGCAAAGCAAAGTTCTTTCCTGTTGTTTTTGCGCATCGCCTGAAACTCCATACGTAATACCGGGGGCATCTGAACAGAGATGTTCCTTGCCATGCAAACGACCCTCAAGCAAGAGTGTAGGATCTCCTGTCAGAGCCCATGCCCGTTGAGGTTTGACTGAAAATTCTGGAAGTAGCTCAGATGAGCAATCAGTATGTTGGCAAGGATCCCAACCTCGCTAGTGCCGCTAGTGGAGCTTCGAAGCCTTGAAGTCCACCACAAATAAAGAAAAACGCCTGCGTGCCAAGCCTCAACTCTCAGCTCAGGAGTGATTGCGAAGGAGTTTGGAAACGAGGTGGCATCCATACTCCGGGGCCTGGATGCTCCATTCCCCTCTGTTGCAAGCAATGCCAAGGCCAATCGGATGCTAGGCCTGTACGATCCAGTCTTTCGGATCTCAGCATGTTCGTTTTAAGAGATTGTGCCCCGATTGGCCCCGAAATTTGTGTAAGCCAAGGATCCGTCTCGGTAAGCAATTGCACGAGTTACGGAAGCTCCAGTGGGGGACACTCTCTTCGCCAGAGGATATTGAAGAATTCCGCACCCTGCCACTTGGACCAAATCCTCAAAGAGCACTCGCAGCTGTGTTTGCATACATCTGGGCGCTCAGCGTCTCCCGAAGTCAGGTTAGAAAGAACACGGGGTGTTCGAAAGGTTCTTTCTGGCAGCCACCCGCCTTTGGAAGAGGCTGCGGGCATGCATACTCGAGCGCTTGAGCTGGCTTGTAAAATTCGGCATGCATCGTCAAGAAAGGGGGTAATCCTGTAATGCAAACCCCGGGCGCCAATGGAACAACATGGCCTCGTAAAAATTAAGTCTATTCTTCCACACCGTGGTTTCTCGAGAGCGACTGCTGCTGCTGATGCTGCTCTTGCTTCCTGCTACGACGAGGACGACGAAGACTACAACTATAACTACAACTACAACTACAAATTGCTACTACTTCTACTACTATACTCCTACTACTACTACTACTACTACTACTACTACTGCTTCTGCTACTGCTACTGCTACCATTACTACTCCTACTACTACCACTGATACTACTACTACTACTACTACCACCACTACTGTCGTCGACGTGCCAAGTGGGTGACAAAAACCACCACTACTATTACTACTATTACTACACTACTACTACTACTACTACTACTACTACTACTACGACTACTACTACTTACACTACTTACTACTACTACTACTTACTACTACTTACTACTACTTACTACTACTTACTACTACTTACTACTACTTACTACTACTTGCTACTACTTACTAGTACTTACTACTACTACTACTACTACTACTACTACTACTACTACTGCTACTACTACTACTACTACTGCTACTACTACTACTACTCCTGGTTGGTTCGTACTCAGAGGATGTCTTGTCTCGCTGACTTTCGAAAGTCGGCTGTCCCAAACTCCACTAGTTCCTGAGAATCAACTTTTGGACTAGTGAATTTCTCTTGGAGATGGGCATAGTTTCTTGGTTTATGGGATTGTTGTTGTTCCTTCTGACTTCAGATGACACCTCCGAGTCCAGTTGCCAATCAAGATCCCACAGTGCTGTCACCGGCATGCCAAGTGGGTGACAAACCTACTACTACGACGACGACTACTACCACGACGACGACGACGACGACGACTACGACTACTGGCTGCTGCTGCTGCTACTGCTGCTGCTGCTGCGACTAGTGCCAATTTCGCCCCAGTTGTCCCGAGTCATCGTTACTCAAAGCCTTGGTGACCTCGGAGGTGCAGAATACAGGCTAGCTTTAGTGCAGCAGTTGGGGCGTGCCCAAGGCACACCGGCATGGACACCATGGGCCATCGGAAATGTTCCAAAGTCCAAGGAATCTGCGCGTCGGCTGCTTGGCATGCGGAGCAGGTGTGCCGTGGCGCGACCGAACAAATAGCAGGCGGGGGTGACGAGCGCCACTGGCCCTCGAAACGCTGGAAATGCATATGCCCAGCGTTTCGAGGGCCTGGCGCGCGTCACCCCTGCCTGCTATTTGTTCGGTCGCGCCATGGACGCCACGGCACACCTGCGCAGATTCCTTGGACTTTGGAACTGCTCCACCTCTGCGGTACTCAACACCCAATGTCCCTGTGCTCTTTCATTTCGTGGAAAGGCACTCAGCACCAACATGCGGTCTGTTGCCGATCCGGCAGCACCCGCCTCCATCCGCCCCAAAATGGTCGTCTATCAGGCCTTTCGCCACGCCGCGTGGTGACAAACACTGCTCGAACGGTGGTTTAGGGTCTAGAGCTTTAGGGCTTAGGGCTTAGAGTCTAGAGGAAAACTCGGAAGCATGCCATGTCTCAAAAAAGGTGTTTTGGGTGTGCTTGCTTGTGCCAACTTCGAGTTCTCAATACCGTCATATTTTGAGCAAGGCAAGTAAGCGCCAGGTGATTACAACAATGCGGCCAACCCGTCCCTACGAGGGTAGATCTTGCTCTACCTAAACCCCCAAAGCCCGAAACCCCAAAAACCCTAAACCCTAAACTTCAAACCCTACGCTTCACTCTTCGGTTTCATCGCAACCAGGATTTCCTGCGCTGGTCAGTTGCTGTCTTGTCAGGAGTTTGGGTTCTCTCCTTTTGGAGTCCTAGCGTCACTTAAGCCCGGAAACCCTAAACGGTTTAGGGTTTAGGGTTTAGGGTTTAGGGTTTGGTCGCTGTCACTTAATCCTCAAACCCTCAAGGCTTTAGGGTTTAGGGTTTCGGGCTTAGCCTACACTGCGCTGTCACTTAATCCCCAAACCCTCAACGGTTTAGGGCTTAGCCTACACTGCGCGGCCAAGCCACATACCTCCAGGATGAAGCAAGATGTTCTTCGGCGCCTCGAGCCATCGGCTGGAAAGGGACGACCAGAGCAGCGGTGCAGCATACTAAGAGGGGCCTGCATAGTTAAAACCCTAAACCCTAAACTTACCCTTGTTTGGGGGACTGTATAATAAGGATCCTACTATTTAGGGTACTATATTAATGTCCCCTATTTTCGGAAACCCTTAACAGGGGCTGCAAAATTAAAATATCCTTAAACCCTAAACCCTAAACCCCAAACCCTAAACTGAACCCTAAACCCTAAACCCTAAACTTCACTCTAAACCCTAAACCCTAAACTAAATCCTAAACCCTAAACCCTAAACCCTAAGGTTTCGGGTTGTACTTGCGGCCTGCAGAATTCGAAGAGGGTCTGGAGTCTCATTTCTATGGGCTTTCAAGCAAGGTGGAGGGGTTTCGGGTTCAGGGTGTAGGGTTTAGGGTTTAGGGCTTAGGGTTGAGGGCAAGGTTTAGGGGTTTAGGGTTTAACGTATAAATGTAGGAACCTGGTGCAGAAACCCTGGCCACATAACCCTCAAAATTTTAGGGCTCGTATAAAAAACCCAAAGCAACCCAGGGTTTCCTATTTTGTTCAGGGTGAGTAAACCGTACGCCCCAAAACACTCAACCCTGCTTGAACTAAACCCTGAACCCTGAACCCTGAACCCTAAACCCCAAACCCTAAACCCTGAACCCTAAACCCTAAACCCCCAAAAACCCTAAACCCTGAACCCAAAACCCCTAAACCCGAAACCCCTAAACCCTCAACCCTCAACCCCTAAACCCCCACCCCAAAACCCTGAACCCCTAAACCCCCAACCCAAAACCCTGAACCCTAAACCCCCAAACCCTAAACCCATAAACCCTCAACCCTCA